GTTTAAAATAATGCTAAGAAACAAAATATTTTTATGAATATCAATTTACCATGGTGGGAATTAAAATACTTTGCTGTTAAAGTCAAATTAATTATTATAAATAATACAAATTTTATGGTTTTGTGCTTTTTCTTTAAATAATAATCAATTATTATGATGTAAAGTATCTTTCTATTATCATGAATACTGCCAATGGTTATCAGTCTGTATTTGTTTCATATTAAATGAAAGTTACCACGCATTAAATATTAGGGATAAAATGTAACATTATTGGGCACTTTGGAAATGCATTACCTACTTCATATGTTCATAATAATTAAATCCTTTCATATAACCTTCAATAATATAATCTTAGAAATCATTTGTGCGTAGAGGCATTCTTCGAATCATAGTATAATACCGAATATCGGTACTTTAGCTCTTCTTTGCACAGCAATCGAAGTAATCTTTGTAATGAACAGTTTCTTTTGTATCTTACTAGAGCACTCACTTATGGACACATAAGTAGCAAGTAAATTTCTGATAAAATTGTCCGTTGACAAAGAGGTTCTCTGAAACAACTTATTGCAAATGATGTGCGTATCATTTATGATTGTCCATCGAATATATCAGAAATTCATTTACTACAGTTCTTTCAAATGACTTCCAAACATCTGTTTGAAAGATTGGAATATGTACACTCCTATGTATCGAGACGCCTATATATTTTTAACTATATAACTTCACGATTTGTATTAGCGCGCTTCGAGATCCGAACACTAGAGCCATGAAACCAATGATGCATATGACAATGTTCTTCAAAGCCACCCAGTGGCACGGGCCAAAGCCAACGTCCCAGTATGTTACAGTTTCGATGAATACAGGGATCAAAAGTCCCAGTATGGAAAAGCAAAATGCACCGATTAATCCGATGAAGGGTCCGATAGTCGGCACGATCACAGCCAATAGAACTGTAAAATAACGTAATTCGTTTAATTATCTTTGTCGAATAAGGTACGCCACGAATAAGGTACAATAAGGTACACCAAAACCGTACCTGCTCCCACGACCATAACTGTTCTCAGAACATAATTGGCCAGGACTGGCTTCTTTTGGAACTTCTCCTTTATACCGTTCCATGCAATATCAAGGCACACATAAAATTGTAAACCAAACGTACAATAGACAGCGAGAGCTATTAAGATCTTCACAATCTGGGCAGGTCTGAAAAGACAGACATTTCACACGCTATTACAGAATCCTAGATTATAGACAAGTACGTTGAAAAATTGCAGTGATACCATATCTAGCATCACAGTAACTTTCAAACGGTAACTTACATTTCTACCGTTGGTAAATTCAGTGTAATGCTGTCGAACGTTTTGTCTTGATATTTCGCGTAGCCCAAGAATCCAAGAAGAATGTAGATAAGCGTAACCCCAGACATTCCCTTGTTAAGGACACCGCAGATACCGACGAAATGCTGCGGTGTTTTCATGTTATTCTCTAACGGCATTACTACACCTAAAATAACATTCGATCAGTGACATTCTTTTATCATTTCACGTTATTACACATAACGCTCAGTATATCATGTATAATAATGTACCTATAGCTTCCATCGCAAAGACAGTTATGCTGAAGAACTGCGGGAATCCGTCGACAGGCGCGATCAGCGGTAGAGAGGAGATAGATGGAAAGTCCCATACTAAATAATAAAATGTTATTCCTAAGCCTGTTCCCATGAATATATTGGCCACCATGGAAACAGGTGCGAGGTATTTCAAATTTGGTATCCAACTGAGCAGTATCATGGGGATCAGCAGGCAGGCTGTCGTTAGCCTGATGCTGAACTCGCCTTCCGGTACATCCGCGTAATGCTCGATGATTTGATTGAAGTTCGCCGCAACTATCACTGTGTACACGCTGCAGGTGCCAAAGTACGTTGCAAATAAACTAATTTGAATGAGATACCTGCAGATACAAATCACGAGATGTTACACAATCATATTTACAGTCATACCCATAAAATTGCATAATGAATCCATTTATTCTTTCTGCGTGCGGTCGAATGATTGGCCGTCTATCAGCGCGAATTACCGAACATTACTTTTATCGTCTGAGTAAGCGTTACACGTTGTCTTACCTAATTGGCTTGGAAAATCTTCTTCCCCATTCTGGTCCCGTAGAAAACGCTACTTCCGCCACGTCGGCGAAGCTCATTTCTGTCCTCCGCGTTTTGTGGTAGAGTACGTGCGCGCATTTTACCTAAATTGCGTTTACAATATTATTCGCTGTATTATTTAACCCTTCGCGCTTGAAAGGTGACTCTCAGTCAGCAGTTAATTCGATACAGTAACGTTATAAAGTTTTATATTTAATATTCAGCATTTGTGCACCAGTATATGGAATACTGGAGTAACATAACTTTCTTATGTTTTCTTGTTAATTAGTTTAAAAAGAACATCATTCATATATCTTATCAGAGAGTATTCAATATTTCTAGTGAAAAGCTTTCAAGCGCAAAACGTTAATTTCGAATATTGCTTGTTATTCATATTATTCAATACTGCAATTCGTAACGACCTATTATACGGTAATTTTTATTTACCAAAATGTATGCGCAGTGTGTGCAAACAAACGCGACCAGGATTGTCGCGAACACACCGACGAGGAGGCCAGCATTCTTGAAAGCAATCGGCATGGATAAAATGCCAGTGCCAAGCGAGGCTTTCAGTAAATGCGTTAATGTGTCACAGTCCCTGAACAAAAATAAGATAACGCTTTGAATGATGATCGTTACTGGCTGTTTGTAACAAGCATCAATATCTTGCATTTATCATGGGGAAAACACGAGGATTTTTAAATACAAGCAGAACTGTGGTATAAACAAGACTATTTGCTTTTCCAGTCCCTTGGCGAGTGCGTGTACATTAAAGACTACTTTATCATTGAAAACTAACTATACTATGAATGTCTGCTTGTAATATACGATGTATATTATTAACGCGTTGAATGCCGCAGGATTTCACCGTGCAAAACACGCGAAATGGAAAAAGATGTAATATTGAATTGTTGCATTGAATCGTGTTACTGTTATTGCACGTTTATCGCTGAATGTCGCTGCACTAGGTAACGTTATTAATAATATAGAAATGATTACTATGATTCACTCAATTAAACAGTGGCTATTTGAATCATTTCAATTTACTATGATTCACTCAATTAAACAGTGACTATTTGAAATTGATTCTTGGGGGACATCGGTGACCTCCATAACATTCAACGTGTTAATCCAGACTGTTCATCGAACAACCTTTATTGCATTTTCGCAAATCAACTAGCACGTTGCGATCGAATATACTTACGTTGTCGGGTTATCAACTTTTCTTTCGTTAAACGGATCGAACTTCTTCCCGTCCCCTTGCAGAGCCTCCGGGTCTCGCGGGACGACTTGTACTTTGTATCTGCAAGGAACACAAGATATTTCGATAATAAACACGTGGCCAGCGTTATTAATAGTCCAGTTATTCGGGGCACAATTTAATCTATTAACTGGCAGAGAGTTAACTTGTCATTTATATTCATCCGTGACCCGGCTTGGATATTAACTCCTCAATCTAATATCATCGACCCGTAGCAACACAAATTAGAGATTATCTTTGAATATCTTTCACGAGACAAAGCGTGTGAAATTAGTTTCTAAATGTGATATGAACTCTTTGCACTCGGAAGTATTTCGTTGGAAATATTTAACATTCTCTAACTAGACGCAAACGATATTTTTTTTAATCAACTCAAAGAGAAATCGCAAGTGAATTGAGAAACAAAACACTTCCATCCTAATATTTCACAGATCGATTTATTATATACAGTTCAATGTTGAATATCAAATTTTATAGTTTTGCTTCTGTTTGTTTTATAGTTTCATTTTTAGTTTTATAGTCACCTCTCGAGTGCAAACGTTTATAAATATATCGCAAGTGAATTGATTTTGCAAGGTTAACGTCGATGATCCTTACTTTGATAATACACCATCCTTCAAGTTGGACCCATCCTGCGGCAGGAAGGTGTCCATTTCCGTTGGCGGTTTGTTATCCTGCGACAAAAGGAAAAGTTACGTATAATAACGAGCAACGATCGTACCTTCGTAAACAATTACACGAACGCCCATCGAAACATACCATTTTTGTGGTTCTCCAGCTGACTGTGACCGAGATCAGTTATCTGTAAACGAGAAATTGAAAATTAAGATATCAGTCTTTAAAGAATACCGATAACAACGGCAAGCAGCTAATTACAATATATAAATCGAGTTTTCAATATTCGAACCGTCGATTTCAAAGGAGTTTTACAAATCCCTAATCGACGTCCGTTACATAAAGTGCCATCGATTTTGGCCTTAGAGGCATCCGCGGTCTCGCGAATTGCGACTTCTGGATGTATCAACGGCGTACACGGAAATAACAGGCAACGCTGGCAAACAGAACCAGAAGAATTAACATAATTGTGCAAACGATCTTCCGTTAATAAGCGGTTCGCCCGACAATGCGAAAAAAAGAAGAGAACGAGTAATAACCGCGTTTTAATTGGCATTAGAGACAAAAAAAAGAACTAGAGGAACGTTTCGTTAGAAGTACTTAAGCGACGATGTATTTATCGTTACTTCATTCTTCACCTTTTGAACCCGATACATATTAAACTCAAATCATCCGGCGTATCGCCGATACGATAATTCCATTGAGTTAAAATTAAAGTGCTTATCGCCAGTCGGCGACCTTCGTGAACCATCTATGTCCATTACGATAAATTACCGAATGTCATTTAGCGTTTTAGAAATCAGCGGATTCGAGATATAATTTTTCCAATCTTTAAATGCAGTTCTTGGAATATTTAAGTGTCGTCACATTCTAGATAAACATTATGCGAACGTCTGTGTATTCTCGTGATCGTAAAAAAGTAATTATGTTAAATTGGAGCTATTACTGTACAATTTAATCTCGTTGATCTCATAATAAAGATACGCCATCCTTTCACCGCGGAAACGCGGCAGGTCCCATTAAATCGTAACGTAAACACTCGAAGATAATATCAGATATGATTAATCAGTCGCGCTAAACTCGATCTGCAGATCATTGCCGTGACTATATATCATGTCTACCGCGGGGGCATTCCGTAATACAAGAAGCTACACGCGACAGCGCAACGAATTGCACGGTGCAGCCTGTGTATCAGCCCGGCGAGATTAACGCGTTGAATGTTGCATGATTTCATACAGTAAAATACACAAAATGAAAAAATATGATATTACATCATTTTTTTAGCATCGTTCGTAATGTAGAAATGTTTTTAAATAACCATCGTTTAACCCTTAGCACTCCAGGTTGCTTTGCAATCCATCAGCAACTGCAACTAATTTTTATAGTATTCCTAGCAAAATTAGAGATGCTATAACATTTCTTCGATCTTTTATTTTCCTTGTTAGCACAAAATTTGGATGTGTGGAGAATCGAATAATTTTTGGGTAGTTTCTTTAAGATTCATTGAAATATTCAATATTATAACTGGTGCAATATTGGAGCCTACAGAGTTCAAAGGGTTAATTGAGTGAACTATAGTGATTCAATTTAGTTGGGGGTCACCGGTGACCCCTGCGGCGTTCAAGGTGTTAAATTCAACGTTTCACGCTCGATGACGAATTTCGTTTCGCGAAGAAACCTCCGAGCTAAAGTTGCCAACGGGGAGACAATGCACGATAACTCATTGAATCATTTCCAATTGAACGTCGATTAAGACGTTAGAAAAATATCGTTAACACTTCGTCAGAGAGTAATGAGTATTTTCAACGAAAAATCTCGTCGAGTGCAAAGGGTTAACCGTGACGCTATCTGGCCCTCGGAAATTGGATAACGTTGCGTTCGGCACGCTAACTCGGTAAATCCTATCGCGCATAGTTCAACAGTCTGCTCCCGATTCTTCGAGGAGTCGCGACCTCAACCTTTGCGATCGTGTTTGCTTGTGCGAAGACACCATTGTACGGTCGCTACATGGAAAGAAGAGTCACTAGACTGAACCTATCAGATAGAGCCAGATCTAGATAGCTCAAAGTCTTTCGGATTATCCGCGAAGCACGTAACCGGTGACGTAAACGGTTTCGTAAAAATACAGTTCGAGATCACGGCAAAAGCCGCGAGCAGACTAAACAATTATACAACAACCGGTTAACGTCCACGTTATTCTCCTATTATTTAAACATTCGTACGCTGGAAAACACAGTTTTATTTCAGATAAAGTGTACAGCAGTGAAAAAGGTGCCGGACTAAAATTGAGAACAAGACAACACGAGACTTTAATGGCATACCGGGTGTTAATGGTTTAATGGCATCTCCTAAGTCGTCGGCTAACGTAACCGATGAAAGATTCTTTGTTTCCTGATACGATGTTACACACTCTCTGCTTGCTCGCAGCAAACAAAGAGAATTATTGTTAACCTCGATCAACGCGTCTTTCGCACGATCGAACATGAAATCGATGCTGCTCGAACATACTCTTAAGAACTCTTTAATTCGTTTTATATAGTTTTATGTAGTTTTCTATAGTTTTCTCTTAGCTCTTCAATGAGCTCCAAGATCATGCATTTCGAGCTCATATTTAAACATCATCAACAATACTCAAATGCATCCAAACCCACCTGCGACATTTAGCAACTTTGCGCGGTTATAATTAGCGGCTCAATGAATTCCAGTGACTCATCAAGGGATCCAACGAAAAGCCTCTCAAATATCGAATGACAGTTGGTTAATTTTAGAATCATATTTCAGACGACTTTCCAATTAATTCGTTCGCCAGACGAATTTTCGAATATAAATACTCGCGGAAGTGCAATTCGAGAGTTAACGTATTCGTACGTTCCGGTGATGTTTATTAATGAAACGAATAAGAAATGGTGATTGATAAGCGAGCTCGAACGCAAATGACGAGTTAACTCGTCTTCCGATAACAGCGTTCCCCGGTCGGGTTCACGAAGGGAAAGAAAATGGCGACGATCGAGAGGAAAAAGCGTGCACGTTAGTCTGCTTTTCGTTGATCGATCATTTCTGATGTAACCACGGACATTGTCCTCAAAAATATAGAACGGTTGGCAATCACAGGGAACACGGACTAATGGACGCGCGTGCCGAGCCTAAAAATAAACGACTGCGATTCCCGACGTTATCTCGGCTCATCAACTTTCTACGTATAAGGAAGAGGAGATAAATACTTTTCCCGTGCGTTTCATTAAACAGCGATTTTCAACTCTGCTGATGCTTCAAGTAATTTTAGATAGAAGCCGACCGATCGCTGTACGAAATAATTCATTTCTAATGAATGGTAATCAACGGTTAACGAGTTCGTAATGGCTCGTACGTGGACTGTGCGTATTATTAGATGAATAAAATGAATCGAATCACACGTGGCGAGGGATAACAATTACCGCAAGTATATTTAGAAGTTAGGGAAGCCTTTTTGCTACTTGCGGGAGGTCATGAAAGCTCTAGAAGTTCAAACTTCGCTGCTCGAAGACGTCGAACGTGGCCGACGCTTCCGAATTGCTTGAAAATAGAATTCAAGTATTTATAATGAAACTAGCGTTACGAAATAATTGTGACTCGAAAGTATTTCAATGGAAATATTCAACATTTTCTGACGAGATATCGATGATATTGTTTGAAGCTAATTTAACGACAATTCACAGATAAATTAAGCAACGGAGGTGCTTTATTTAATTATATCACGTAGCAATGCAAAATTTAATCTAAAACATTAACCCTTTGCACTCCAGAAGTTTCTCATTAGAAACACCCAAGATTTCTTAATGAAATACCAACGACATTCTTTCAAACTTAACGAGAAATCGTGCATAAATTAAAGAGGCTGTTTTACTTTAATATTTCACACGTCGACGCATTGTACAAAGTTTAATATTAAATGTCAAACTCTAATTTTGCTGTGTCGAATCAATTAAACATTCAACTTTATAGTTTCGTTACATCGAATCGTGCGGCGACTGAGAGTCACCTCTCGAGTGCAAAAGATTAAAATCGTCATTACGAGCCCGACACGTTGTACAACGAGGGGTGGTCGAGAAAATCGTGTTTCGTGGATGCGACACGCACCGATCGATTCATGAATCACACGACACCGCTTCGGGGCCCGCTATCGGTCACACCTGAATCTACATCGGTTCATAACGCGCGATTTGCATGTCGTTACCTCTCGTAACGACCAATTGAGGGCCGCGTAAGTGGCCGCCGAACGTTCACGGTTAAGAGGACACGGGGAACTGGTAAAACCGCTTCGGGAGCGAGACATCTGGTCGAATTACTCGCAAATCAACTGGTTATCTCACAATACTGTCCACGCGTGATACAACCTCGTTACTCCGTCTCTTTTCAAAACGTTTCCATCTATATTACGGGCACTACATATCTCCTCGTGGCATAATCAATGAGTACCAGCGACTTCCGACTCCACGTGTCGCAGACATATACTCTCGGGAAACAAAGTATACTCTAACTCATCGCTCGAGCTAATTAACGTGACGCTGCAGAAGTATTCTGACGCTGCATAGCTGATTTCTAGTAAACGCCTGAAAGCGACTGAAACTTTGTTCGGAAGCTTCCGACGAGGCGCCATGTTGAATGATTCAGCGCGTCGTATGGAATAATCAAATTCATCGTGATCGTTAGGCGCTGCACGGTTGGAATTTTTAAAGATTAGTTCTAGGAATTCGAGAGCTGCTCGATGTAAAATTAAACATGATGGATACAGGGTTCGATTATGAAATCGAACAGAGGAACGAATCACTGTTACCGTGCGGCAATGAAAGGTAATTGGAAAAATGAAAAATCCGTTTGAAATTTGATATCCTGTATAGCTCGGAAAGGTTACAATCAGAGGAGCAACGTGTAATTAAATATTACGAGCAATCGCGCTCTAGTCAGGAGCAATCAGGCCTTCGGGGTGTTGTATACGTGTGCGCCGTTGTACATGTGTCGCGCGAGGTGTGTCGCAAACTGGCCAATGCGGAGCGTGTAATTAAATATCGTCGGGGTTGGTTATTACTTTAATGCGACACGGCACGGCGCCGCGCGAAAATGCAAAAGACAAAAATCGAGATGGCAACTCGCTGGCATTTACGAACGTTTTAAACGAGACGCGGTCGCCGCGCGATTATGGTTTTCGAG